GAAAATGTGAAAATCTAAACCACTGTTTAAAAATACATTGAGACATTTGAGAGGTTAAAACTGGTGCTTTGTCATAGAGGTGTGTTGGATTCATATAGGCAGGGATTGGTTTTGACAGGACAATCAGCATGCATACACTCCCTTACTTACACAGAAACAATGTTCAGTAGTGTGTAGGCCTCACTGTCCGCCCTCCAAACGGCATGATTATCTTTTAAATATATATGTAATTGCTTATAATTACAAAATTAAACATTATACCCTTAACCAGTTGTTCTCTACCCCACCCTCCCTTTTCATTTGTCTGTTGTCCACATATTCAAGGCTTCTCTGCAAAGAAATCACAGTATTATAGGCAGCTGAATGATTGTTCAGCTGTAGATCTTAAGTACAGATGTTTCACTGCCTGTTCAGCAATAACCTGAAGGGTTTCATTAAAGGATCATGGCACAGACACAATTAGACATCCTTGCTTTGGTAGACTATGTGAAAATAGTGATTCTTTACATTTCAAATGCTCTGAAAAATCTAAGTCTTAGACAAAGCAGGATGTTGAGGTCTGTCTGTGGTGCTCAATTGACTTTTCAGAGCGTGAGGTGGGATTTCAGGCAGTTTTGCTGTGCATTCACAGTTTTTAGTCTCAAAGGTTAACCATGCTCCCAGTATGAAAATGCGTTGGTCTTAGTTTCTCATGACTAATTCGTCAAGGGGAGGGTTTTTCTCGTTTGTTTTCCAGCACATCTGATGTAATGTGGTTTGAATAAGTGAGACCTCTCATAAATGGGCTATAACAGTGAGTTTTTGAGAGTGGTTTGGCTTCAAACTTGTTTTGAATCATTAAATATATCAATAATAAGGATGAATCTAATGCCAAATATACATTATTTATTTAAAATACATATATTGATAAATGAATATGCCCAATTCAATTTTTTTTTTTGTTGCTCTAATCCATGTTTAACTGAACTTTGTCAAGATTATTTTATAAAGCTATGACAGCATGCAGGATCGTAAAAAAAAATGAATGTATGATTTGATGTTTCATTGCTGTTAGCTGTTTTGGCATTTTACAAATAGTTTGGTATTTGTACAATTAATAAACTTTTTTATTTATAATTTATTGAGTCATATTCATAGATCTAAATATGAAATGTTGGGTTTTTTGCAGATTAGGATTTTATGAAGGGTTTGGTCCTTCTCTGCTTTAGTTTTGCTTCGGTATTTTGCCTAATTTCAGATTTGATCAATCTGCCTCTTTGAATAATTGAATATTAAGTATGAGCATTTGTTGTACATAGAACTACTATTAAACTTTTTTTGAAGAAAATAAATAATTTTGTGCTGCTCGTTTTCATTTGTTCTAAATATGCAATTTGACTTGACTATGAAATGTTGGTTGATATTCTTCATTTACTTCTTCCGAACATTAGACGTTGTTTAAAAAAAATGAAGTATTAAACACCAAGAAGTTGGATCGCTTTATTTTTTTATCAATGCAAAGAATGTCAAAAGGACAACATTTTAAACAGGGAAATGGTTGACATTTTCCTATGTTTTAGCTACTGAAAGGCGCCTCTTATCTGTATTTTTCTCAAAGTACTTAGAAAAGTTGTTCATGATGATGGTGATGGGTAAAGAAACCACAAGCAACCCACAGAGAATGCAAAGTGTAGCTACAATCCTCCCAGCTGCTGTCTGTGGATATACATCCCCATAGCCAACCGTAGTCATTGAAATAATGGCCCACCACCAACAAACAGGAATAGAAGAGAGTTTGGACGAAGCGTCTTCCTTTTCAGTGTAGTAGATAAAAGTCGAGAAGAACGATATTCCAACAGTAATGAAAAGAATGAGCAAACCCACCTCAGATTGGCAATTCTTTAGAGTTTCTCCAAAAGCTCTCACCCCTTCTGAATGTCGAGCAAGCTTTAGGACCCTGAAGGCCCTCATTAACCGGAGAACCTGAACCACCTTCCCCATGTTGACCAGACTTTGGTTTTCCTCCCCATCCCCATCCCCTTCGTCCAAACTTTCAAAGGCCAGCGTCACATAGAAAGGCAAGACAGAAGCCATGTCAATCATGTTCAGAGGGTTTCCCAAAAACGTCCATGGGCGAGGTGCTGCTGCAACTCGCAGAACAAATTCCACTGAGAAGAAAATGTTACAGATGAGCTCCAGAGAGTCCAGAACAGAATGTTCACTGTCAGTTGCATACCTGAATTCAGGCATACTGTGAATACACATGGCCACAATGGAGGTCAAAATGACCAGGACTGAAAGCATAGCTACACCTTTGGAACACTTGGAGTGATTGGGATCTTCAAGAGTTTGCCACATGAACTTGCGAACATCTGAACACCACGTGCCCTCAAACCTCCACAGGTCACTCCCCACAACGGAGATCTCTCCAGACGACGTGGCATTACTAGACCTGCCACATGCATTCTGCTCCCGGTCATGTTTGCGCTCAAGGAACCAATCGAGACAGCAGGCCTCCAGATCCAGTTCACCAATGCCCCAGTATTCGATCTCCTGACTGAAGCAAAACACACACAGCTCCTCCAGAGCATGAAAGTGTCCTGTACGGTAGAAGTTCAGAACACAGTGGAAGACTTGCGGGCTTCTGTCGAAGTAGTATTCCTGCTCAGCAGGGCTGTAGTCATCACAGAGTTCCAAGATGGCGGCATCGCTGCAGCACTGGATTAACTGACCCACACGCGTGTTGGGGAACCGGAGCAGAACGCAGCGCTCCACCTTGTGCTGGATGCCTCCAACGTTGAGGTTAACAAGATCTTCCTCCCTGCCTTGATGGTGGAGAACTTGGCCATACATCATGGTGGTCCTGATTCACTGAATCTGGAAGTCTTGCCAATGATATACTTGCATTTTCTACTAAAACAACAGAAATGCGAATGTTAGCTACATCAGCAACACTGGAAATGACTTAATCTATGAAATTAATGAAATAAATTTGAATGAATTTTGTTTAATAATTGTCCTGCAGTATGACAAGCTATACTCTTTTTTTTTTTAAACTGGTTTCTGAATGTCTTTTTTTTTTTTTATCATATTAATTGAAATAAATGGTACTTTAAAATGTATATGTCACATCACAGGACCATTTAAAATACCAGTGCCTTAAAGTTTAAAATAGAAGTTTAAATGTTTAAAAATAATGAATGGAAAAACCAACCCAATCTCATAGGAAAACAATTATTATATGCAATGGCAATTTCATACAATGTAAACAGTGTGAAAACAAAAGAAATGTAAGCATGAAGGTGCACCCCAAACCTCAATCCTTAAACATAACAGTGAAGCATAAGCACATCATACAAATACATACGAATGAGATACAAATTCATATACAAATTCCACCAATTTGCCAAAATGTTGTGAATTGCCATGAGATTGTGTTGGAAAAACCACACAAATATTATAATATACATTTCTACATATAGTGTTGATGTTAATAAAAAGTTGCAAATAAGCTAACATTACATTTGACATTAAAGAAACAATGCATTTCAATTTGGTGGTCTTTTATTTTAAGCTTGCAAATGTGTTAAAAATTGTGTGTAATGAATAAAAGGGTCATCTTCAGGTAATGGTTCCATTTGTGTGCCATGACATTTGGATTGATGGATTCTTGAAAATTCATCAGCAACCGTTTCAAATTAAATAAATTATTATAGATTATTATATATCAGAATTGTTTTAATTATATATAACAGGATATTTACAGCAGTGACAGTACCCTGTTGAAAAAACCGCATATGCTGGTTAGGTATGTTTTGAAGCATCGCAGCTGGTTTGATCTGGTTTAAGCTGGTCCTTAGTTGGTCATGAGCTGGTTTAAGCTGGTCACATGCTGGCCCTAAGCTGGTCCAATGCAACTATAGCGCCTGCTCAGGACCAGCTCATAACCAGCTCAGGACCAGCTTAAATCAGCTCATGACCAACTAAGGATCAGCATAAACCAGCTAAAACCAGCTGCCATGCTTCAAAACATACATAACCAGCATATACTGTGTTTTCAACAGGGATCTCCTTGTCTACCACACAAACACTGATTTTGGTGGCTGTTTTAAATATAAACACATTTCTGTGAGAATAAAACAAAGAGATAATTATGACATATGAGCCAAGACTAACACAATAACTAAAACCAAACTTATTTATAAAAATGGAGATATATAAAGTTGGAGTTTGTGAAATAATATAAATTATTGCAAGAAATAGTCATAATCACAAGACTGTGAGATATAATAATAACATTGTGAGATATAAGGTTGTAATTGCAAGATATAAAGTCACAGTATGATAAAAAAAAAAAAAAACTAATTCAGAATTGCCGATCAGTGTTCAAGATTCTTTATTTTTCTTTTTCCATAATGCAGTGGTGCCGGAGAGGACAGTGTGTCAAATTTGGTGATCATGGTCCTAGAGCAGTGCATGGCCAGTGGTCGGGATGGTCCGAGTGGTCTGACTGTTCATGCACTTGTGGTGGAGGGGTCATGTACCGAGAACGATCCTGCAACAGCCCCAGGTAACCAAAAACTCATTTTGACTCAAAGATGAAACCCATTCATGCTAAGATAATGACCAGTGTTGGGTAAGTTACTCTAAAAAAGTAATTAATTACTAGTTACTAATTACATCTTCAACAGTGTAATTAGATTACTGTACAAATTACTCTCTCCAAAAAGTATTTAATTACTTATTACTAATTACTTTCTAAATCCTATATCAAAGTAAATGAATGATACAAGGATAGACATGTAACAGTTCTTTTAATTCTTTCAAATAAATAATAGATAACAACATAAATTCTTCTGGTCACACTTTAGATTAGGGTCCAATTCTCACTATTAAAGGGGTCATATGATGCTTTTTTAAAGATCATTATTTTGTGTATTTGGTGTAACAGAATATGTTGACATGCTTTAATGTTCAAAAAACACATTATTTTTCAAATACTGTACATTATTGTAGGTCCTCTATGCCCCGCCTCTCTCAAAAGCTCTCACCCCTTCTGAATGTCGAGCAAGCTTTAGCACCCTGAAGGCCCTCATTAACCGGAGAACCTGAACCACCTTCCCCATGTTGACCAGATGTTGGTTTTCCTCCCCATCCTCTTCATCCAAACTTTCAAAGGCCAGCGTCACATAGAAAGGCAAGACAGAAGCCATGTCAATCATGTTCAGAGGGTTTCCCAAAAACGTCCATGGGCGAGGTGCTGCTGCAACTCGCAGAACAAATTCCACTGAGAAGAAAATGTTACAGATGAGCTCCAGAGAGTCCAGAACAGAATGTTCACTGTCAGTTGCATACCTGAATTCAGGCATACTGTGAATACACATGGCCACAATGGAGGTCAAAATGACCAGGACGGAAACCGCAGCTACACCTTTGGAACACTTGGAGTGATTGGGATCTTCAAGAGTTTGCCACATGAACTTGCGAACATCTGAACACCACGTGCCCTCAAACCTCCACAGGTCACTCCCCACAACGGAGATCTCTCCAGACGACGTGGCATTACTAGACCTGCCACATGCATTCTGCTCCCGGTCATGTTTGCGCTCAAGGAACCAATCGAGACAGCAGGCCTCCAGATCCAGTTCACCAATGCCCCAGTATTCGATCTCCTGACTGAAGCAAAACACACACAGCTCCTCCAGAGCATGAAAGTGTCCTGTACGGTAGAAGTTCAGAACACAGTGGAAGACTTGCGGGCTTCTGTCGAAGTAGTATTCCTGCTCAGCAGGGCTGTAGTCATCACAGAGTTCCAAGATGGCGGCATCGCTGCAGCACTGGATTAACTGACCCACACGCGTGTTGGGGAACCGGAGCAGAACGCAGCGCTCCACCTTGTGCTGGATGCCTCCAACGTTGAGGTTAACAAGATCTTCCTCCCTGCCTTGATGGTGGAGAACTTGGCCATACATCATGGTGGTCCTGATTCACTGAATCTGGAAGTCTTGCCAATGATATACTTGCATTTTCTACTAAAACAACAGAAATGCGAATGTTAGCTACATCAGCAACACTGGAAATGACTTAATCTATGAAATTAATGAAATAAATTTGAATGAATTTTGTTTAATAATTGTCCTGCAGTATGACAAGCTATACTCTTTTTTTTTTTAAACTGGTTTCTGAATGTCTTTTTTTTTTTTTATCATATTAATTGAAATAAATGGTACTTTAAAATGTATATGTCACATCACAGGACCATTTAAAATACCAGTGCCTTAAAGTTTAAAATAGAAGTTTAAATGTTTAAAAATAATAACCAACCCAATCAACCCAATCTCATAGGAAAACAATTATTATATGCAATGGCAATTTCATACAATGTAAACACAAAAGAAACAAAAGAAATGTAAGCATGAAGGTGCACCCCAAACCTCAATCCTTAAACATAACAGTGAAGCATAAGCACATCATACAAATACATACGAATGAGATACAAATTCATATACAAATTCCACCAATTTGCCAAAATGTTGTGAATTGCCATGAGATTGTGTTGGAAAAACCACACAAATATTATAATATACATTTCTACATATAGTGTTGATGTTAATAAAAAGTTGCAAATAAGCTAACATTACATTTGACATTAAAGAAACAATGCATTTCAATTTGGTGGTCTTTTATTTTAAGCTTGCAAATGTGTTAAAAATTGTGTGTAATGAATAAAAGGGTCATCTTCAGGTAATGGTTCCATTTGTGTGCCATGACATTTGGATTGATGGATTCTTGATCAGCAACCAGCAACCGTTTCAAATTAAATAAATTATTATAGATTATTATATATCAGAATTGTTTTAATAACAGGATATAGGATATTTACAGCAGTGACAGTACCCTGTTGAAAAAACCGCATATGCTGGTTAGGTATGTTTTGAAGCATCGCAGCTGGTTTGATCTGGTTTAAGCTGGTCCTTAGTTGGTCATGAGCTGGTTTAAGCTGGTTATGAGCAGGTGCTAATTGCTTAGGACCAGCACATGCCCAGCTTAAACCAGCTCATGACCAACTAAGGACCAGCTTAAACCAGATCAAACCAGCTGCGATGCTTCAAAACCAACCCGATCTCATGAAAGTGCGTATAAATACTATGCCAAATAAAAACAAAAACTTGTGGTATTGATAGCAAAAATGGACGTTGGCGTGTATATGCTACGTGATGGGTAGGTTTAGGGTTGTGGGCAGGGCCGTTTCTAGCCAATTTGACGCCCTAGGCGAAATCCCTGTTACACCCCCACCCCCCCTATTTGTAAATTGACTGTTAAGATAAACATTTTGCACAATTTAGTATCTGTAATATTATTGTGTTGCCCCTAGA